AAGCACATTTCTTGGGACTCTACAGGTGTGCAATATAACTTAACAATAAAGGTGTATATTTATTACACATTACACATGTCATAAAATATCCATCAAAAGATTACCTCTTATTCGTTGTCTGAAAAATATTTTCAACCTCTTGAAGAAGCATTGGCCATGACCAAGAACAATTAGCCAATATCTTAGTATATGGATGCAGATTTGAGCTTAAAGGTAACAAAACAAAAACGTTGAGGTCTCAAACAAAAGAATTTCTTTTGGGAGTTACAAAGCATTAAAATTAATCAGTAAGAATGGGTAAAGAGATGCATACAGACAAATGAAGCAATTAAAAAATGCTATGTTTTCATTGCGTAATTGTATGAATTGCTCTAGCAAAACATTTTCACTTTCATATGTCAGTTAACCTATAACATTATCAATATTTACCTTCAATAATTTACTTTTCTCACTATAGTCGGCTACAGTAAGCCGTAAGGTTGTTCATGTAACAGTTTGAATGTGACTGCATCAGGTAAACACACTACCCACATACAGCATAATTTAAGGCCGGTCATTTAAGGGGCTTAAATTATATTTTGGAGAAAGCCTACTAGAATCATGCAGCATTGGTTTAAAAAAATTATTGAGTACTTAGAAATTTGATAGTCAGTGTACTAAATAAACATAAATATTGGCATATGACTTCCTCTTAAAACTAATGCAGCCATAATTTACACACACAGTAATTTATGGTGACTCACAATGCATCGACTTATTGCGTAGTCAAGGTACCTACTACACTAAAAGTTACAATTACTAAAAGTGTTCCACTAACCTCAAATTGTATGAATCAACTTCTATAGTGGACTTCACTTGAAAACATAATAACTTTATTACACCACGAATTGGTCCAAGGATATGTCTGAAATTAAGATAGGTAGGATCTTATAAATTTCAACACTTTAGTTAAAAGGCTGAGAAGTTGGCCATTTTTAATTAAATCTATATACCTTGTTGACAAAGTTTGAGCCACAAAACCATGCATAACATAGCTAAAATCCAAAACATTCTTCACAACCAGATGTACCAAAACATCAACAGCCGCAAGTGAAATAACACAACATGGATCACAGCATTTAGTCCACAGTTGCCCAACCTCTTTAATCTGTTGGCACTTTATCATAAAATATAAAACTTGCATAAACCTATTGGACCATTTTGTAATCATTTTCAAGATGCCATATCAAATTTATATATAATATATAAATTATATCTGTATGGTATAATATCTGTAAAGTGCCCTATTTCAAACCTCTTTATCTGACAAAGCATGCTTTCTAGACGTCTTTTTGCTCAATATGATAGGTAGAAGCTGCCAAACAACCTGAAAACATAATTAGGTTAGGTAGTATACATATAACAAAATACCATCCTGTTCTGTCCAGCACCATGTGAGTTAATTTATGACTGCATGATAAAACAATTCTGCGCGCCCCTTCCCTTCGCACAATGTGTTGATGACAAAATAGCTAAAATAGTGTTTTAATTTCCACTGCTGCAGTTTGGTATATCATTTATACTTGTTCATTTAACTTTTTACAGGGGGCAGGGTCATTTTTGGGTGCTCATGCACCTATGGCATGCACACAAAGTGTTTATATGCATGAAAATTTTCATATCCTAGCTATAAATTTGGTTTCTGAAGTGAGAATCTTTAAAAAAACTCTCTATAGAATAATCTGGCTTTATCTCCATTTTGGGGCAAGACCACCTATAGAAATACCAATTAGTTTCATCTATCTTTAATATAAGACATTTATATAGATAATACCACATTTGGATGATTTGGTTGAATATAGTAATCCTACTAATCCATATACAGCAAATTATAGTACGGCAAATAGCTATTCAAATTTAGGCAGCATATAATTTTCCGCGTAAAATAAATCATACCTCTTAAAAATTCTCACCTGTTCTTGTATCAAATTGTTCGGTAACTCCATAATCATTCATCAGCCACATACAATTTTAAGACCTTTGCGCTACCAACGAGCGCTTTTAAGCGATGTTACATAACGTTTCGAAAGAGCGAAGATGACGCTGATTCGTGTGTGCCAGGGCGCTTCTTCTGTGCGAACATCTGTGATCTGTGATACGGAAAAAACGGCCAGACCGGTCCTGTTGTAGTTTGGTACGGACAGGTTACTGGTATTTTAGAGTGTTTCAAGAACTCTGCATGCAAATATATAGTTATTTACATCTGCCTAGCACGGGAAATGCATTTTCACCGCTATATATTCTCCGTTAACGAAATACTCTATTTAAATTTAAAAGTATGACCGGTCTGACCATTTATTACTCCGGCGTCAGCGACGGAGTTGAAAATTCGCCTCGGTTTTTTTTTTTTTTTTTTTTTTTTTCATTATTTTTCGTCGTCGCAAGTCTGAAATGGCGCGAACCATTCTAGTATTCGAAATGTGTATGTGACTGTATTTATCTACGTCCCAGTCTTATCTCTTAAGAGTTGTGGTGTACAGCTTCAGTGGCTAATTTTCCGATGCGCGATTCGATTTCGCTCGCATGATACGGCAATTCCTCCAAGAGGAACAAATAAACCGTTCTTTTCATGCTGTTCGATTAAGTTTAGATTGAATTGGGGTAAGAATATATTTAATACATGTAGATTCTGGTCCTATTTTAATAATATCGCTGCTATTTCGCCGTTTAACAAGATGATGTGGTCGTGTATGGGCGCGTTGACACGTCGTAGTTTGCACAGGATTGAAGATTTAATATAACTATATAAGCGCCTATTCCAAAAGCAAAGTGTGAGACAAAGCGAATGTATCATGCGGTTTATTTACATTTTTGCACAATTGAACTTCTATACTTTTTAAAGTACGACGTGCTTCTAAATTTCGCAATCGAACATTTATAGGTTCGCAACTCGCAAGGCATCTAAATGCGAATATGAGCTGTATTCAGTGTGACCAGGTTTTTTGAGGGCCAATTACCGTATCAGGTGGCAGAAATTACTACATTTGGCCAAAAATTACCACGCTCACTTTTATCCCCAATTATCCCTTTAAGTCCCATACCTTACCCGAAAGTATTCGTAACCGACCTTAATTCACCCTGATAACTGATTTTATTTGATAAATGATAATAGGCAGGGGTTTAGTGCCTGACTGAACGCGATACTTCTGTTTACGATTATTTGAAGCAGTTGAAGATTTGCTAGCTTTCTTGCGCGCACGTGTCGGGTCAGAACTTTGAAATATTGGCTTCGATACCTTCGCACACATCACTGTCAGATTCATAAGAAGTCTCATCTACATGGCCACCCGCAATGTTAATTTCCATTTAATCCTCACGCATATTTTAGACTCACATCTTTTTTATGAAAAATTTATGAGCCGTTAACGCATATATTGTAAATAGGTAGGACGATATCGGAAATAGGTAAGAGTAAGACCATATGAGGTAAGAACCTATGTGGATAACACGTGTCACGTGCTATCCCAGACCCCAAAGATTTTAGAGGCCTGGACTCCTGGGAATGAAATGAATGCTCGCGGTATAGCAGAAGCAGCAGCGGCATTAGAGCCTTGATAAGACCAAAAGTGGAACGGCTCAGGTTGAAAATAGTTTCCATAAAATGTATTTTAAATAAATTACTACAAATTACTACAATTCATGGAAAATTACCGTAGTAATTACTACAAATTTCAAATTACCACAAGCACCCAAAAAATTACCAAAAATTACCAAAAGTAATTAAAATTACCACGTCTGGTCACACTGGCTGTATTGTTTATGTTCAGAAGCTCTATATTAAAGACTGGCACGTGCGCCGGAGTTAACGCCAGAACAGGCGTCTTGTTGAATATCGATTGAATATCGCCGCTATTTCGCCGTTTAACAAGCTGTGGTCGTGTGTGGGCGCGTTGACACGTCGTAGTTTGCACAGGATTGAAGATTTAATATAACTATGTATAAGCGCGAATTCCAAAGGCAAAGTGTAAGACAAAGCGAATATATCATGCGGTTTATTTACATTTTTGAACCGTGATTGAACTTCTATACTTTTTAAAGTACGTTGTGCTTCGCGAGGCATCTAAATGCGAATGTGAACTGTATTGTTTATGTTCAAAAGCTTTATATTGAAGACTGACACGTGCCCCGGAATTAACGCCAGGACAGGCGTCAGTTGTTCTACAACATCTGCCCACGGGATTTGCTTGATTGCATCAATTAATATTCGGCTATTTCTAAAACCAGGAACGGGGAATCGGGGAACGGAACGGGGAACGGAACGGGGAACGCGAAAACCCGGAATACTAAAAGCCGGAATCTCTAAAACCCGGAATACTAAAAGCCGGAATCTCTAAAACCCGGAATACTAAAAGCCGGAATCTCTAAAACCAGGAATACTAAAAGCTGGAATCTCTAAAACCAGGAATACTAAAAGCCGGAATCTCTAAAACCGGGAATACTAAAAGCCGGAATCTCTAAAACCAGGAATACTAAAAGCCGGAATCTCTAAAACCAGGAATACTAAAAGCTGGAATCTCTAAAACCAGGAATACTAAAAGCCGGAATCTCTAAAACCAGGAATCTCTAAAACCCGGAATACTAAAAGCCGGAATACTAAAACATATGGTTAAGTAAATTACCAATAACAATCATGAGTGCAACGCGGTGTAAATTGTAAAACTAGCTATAGTTATATTTGAGTACAATTACAAAAGTAAATATTGAAAATGCTGGCATCTTTGTAAATGCTGGCAACGCTATTCGTCTCGGTTTTTATTCAGCGATATTCACTTCGCCTTCGAATTCGGCGAATAATTGTTAAATGTTTACTGTTATATTTGTTATTTTATGTTATTAATATTGACCGCTGATAAGATTGCGGGCACTAGAAAAAACAAGCCTCGTGGTCTCTGCTTCGTGCTCATCGAATTCGAACGCGTATTTGGGTTATATGCAAATGTTTTTTAAGCATTTCCATATAAATGAGTGCTAAGTTACCTATTTTAAAAGTTGGAACCCCAGCCGCAGACATTGTTATACCTGGTGTAAAACAATTTATATGGACAGACGCGCAAGAGAAGTGCAAAATTGGTGAAGGAAGTTTTGGTGATGTATATTCAGCTAAATTTAAGGGCAGACTCGTTGTATTAAAGAAATTAAAATGCCAGAAAAAACAACGAGACAAACTATTATTTACCAAAGAGGTACGCATTCTCAGTGAATTGCAATGTAAGCACATTGTTAAAGTTGAGGGCTTTTGCTCGAGTCCCATAGCAGTAATGCTAGAGTACGCCTGTTTTGACTTTCAACCGTTGGGAATTAATGGTGATCGTGTCACTTGTTTGATGGAATACCTCGATTTTGTGTGCAGTGGAAACTTTGTGAGCAATTGTTTTTTCTTCAGCCAAAGATTGCACAAGATATTATCACAGCGATTGCCTACCTTCACAAGCGAAACATCGCCCACAGAGACATTAAGGCTGCAAATATTCTGGTTTCCAACACTCACTATTCTCAATTGACAGATCCTGACGAAATGGAAAAGGCCTGGTCAAAAGAGAATATAATTTGCAAACTGGCTGACTTTGGGGAAAGCCGTTCAATTATGAATCAAACTGCTACACTTAATCACACCAGAACTAAAAATCTTGAAAGGGGAACACTTGTTTATAATGCACCAGAGGCATTGCTAATCTCTGACCAAACTATTTCTTTTTCCTTAGAAGAACTGAAACAGTCTGACATTTGGTCTCTTGGTATGGTGTTGTTTCTTTTAGTTAATCCTGATGTTGAATACCCATATTCCCAAGAGATAGAAGAATGTGGTTTCGAAAGCTTTTCAGAAGTAAAGGATGAACTTCGAAAGCTAATGGAGCAAAAAAAGAAACCAAGACACTCTGTAGAATATGATTCCCTTCGTCTAACCCAGTGGTCAAAGATTAGCAAAGCTTTTGAAGCTTGTTCATCTTTTATACCAAGTGAAAGAGTTTCTGCTGAAGAAGCATTAACCATTGTGTGCCCAGATTGTGAGTCTAGTGGGGAGGCATTGGCAGTTATCCCTGCACCTGAGTGTTTAATTAATGTTAACAAGGACCCAAGTTCCAGTAAACATGGCAGCACCATCTCAGCACCTGAGTGTTTAATTGATGTGAACAAGGACCCAAGTTCCAGTAAACATGACAGCACCATCTCAGCACCTGAGTGTTTAATTGATGTTGACAAAGATCTTAAAGAGGTAAATATGATGTATTTAATATGATTTAATTTTCTAGCTTATAATAGGTGCCAAACTTATATGATGTGCACCACCTTAATGTTGCCCAAGGTAAAATATAAATCTCTTTAGGATTAATTACTACTTACTGATTTTATTTCAGATGGAATCCATCGATGTTGCTGAGAATAGAGATGGTATCACAGAAGATGTACATTCTTCAAGGTATAAAATACATTTCGTCTCCTACTATAACCACTGCACAAATTGTGAGTGTTTGTCATATGTTTTAATCCTTCATGTCACTTCAGTTGGATATGATGTAGCCACCATGCCATGATCAATTATTGACTGTACCTTAATATCAAAAACAACCCTAGCCTCTTGCATGGAGTTGTCAAATATCACCTGAACCTGTTTGTAAAAGCATATATGAAGGGAAAATGTGCTATTTCTTGTTGATTTTATTGAATGTACCCCCTGAAAAAAAATTTAAGACATTGACATAGATAGAAGATAGACAGATATATATCATTAACCATATGTTTTAGTATTCCGGGTTTTAGAGATTCCTGGTTTTAGAGATTCCGGCTTTTAGTATTCCTGGTTTTAGAGATTCCGGCTTTTAGTATTCCTGGTTTTAGAGATTCCGGCTTTTAGTATTCTTGGTTTTAGAGATTCCGGCTTTTAGTATTCCTGGTTTTAGAGATTCCGGCTTTTAGTATTCCTGGTTTTAGAGATTCCGGCTTTTAGTATTCCTGGTTTTAGAGATTCCGGCTTTTAGTATTCCTGGTTTAGAGATTCCGGCTTTTAGTATTCCTGGTTTTAGAGATTCCGGCTTTTAGTATTCCGGGTTTTAGAGATTCCGGCTTTTAGTATTCCGGGTTTTCGTGTTCCCCGTTCCGTTCCCCGTTCCGTTCCCCGATTCCCCGTTCCTGGTTTTAGAAATAGCCATTAATATTCTTCTAAACATAAACAATACAGATAACATTCGCATTTAGATGCCTTGCGAACCTAAATGTTCGATCGCGAAGCACAACGTACTTTAAAAAGTATAGAAGTTCAATTGTTCAAAAATGTAAATAAACCGCATGATATATTCGCTTTGTCTTACACTTTGCCTTTGGAATTCGCGCTTATACATAGTTATATTAAATCTTCAATCCTGTGCAAACTACGACGTGTCAACGCGCCCACACACGACCACAGCTTGTTAAACGGCGAAATAGCGGCGATATTCAATCGAGCAGCATGAAAAGAACTGTTTATTTGTTCCTCTTGGAGGAATTGCCGTATCATGCGAGCGAAATCGAATCGTGCACGGGACGTAAATAAGTACGGTCACATACACATTACACACTTGCGACGATAAAAAAAACCCGAGGCGAATTTTCAACTCCGTCGCTGGCGCCGGAGTAAAAATAAAAAATTGGAAAAAGGTAGTTTTATGGACGCTTCTTTGGCAAACGTGAAAGATAAGCTAGTCGTGGTAGAGAAGCTTAGACGGGAGAAACACAAGAAGGAAAGACATATATATTTATATAATGAATCACATATAAAAATCGTTTTCCTTTTTTCGCGTTTTATCCCCTCATCCGTATTTTCCTATCCGCGTTTTATCCCCTCATCCGTATTTTCCCATCCGCGTTTTATCCCCTCATCCGCATTTTCCCATCCGCGTTTTATCCCCTCATCCGTATTTTCCCATCCGCGTTTTATCCCCTCATCCATATTTTCCCATCCGCGTTTTATCCCCTCATCCGTATTTTCCCATCCGCGTTTTATCCCCTCATCCGTATTTTTCCATCCGAGTTTTATCCCCTCATCCGCATTTTCCCATCCGCGTTTTATCCCCTCATCCGCATTTTCCCATCCGCGTTTCATCCCCTCATCCGTATTTTCCTATCCGCGTTTTATCCTCTCATCCGCATTTTCCCATCCGCGTTTTATCCCCTCATCCGTATTTTCCCATCCGCGTTTTATCCCCTCATCCGTATTTTCCCATCCGCGTTTTATCCCCTCATTCGTATTTTTCCATCCGCGTTTTATCCCCTCATCCGCATTTTCCCATCCGCGTTTTATCCCCTCATCCGCATTTTCCCATCCGCGTTTTATCCCCTCATCCGTATTTTCCCATCCGCATTTTCCCATCCGCATCTGCCATCCGCAATCCGTATCCGCGTTTTATCCCTACCCATACTTAAACTACGGCGTGACGTTAGTTATTAGAATACCGACTTCTTGAGAAAATAAGAAGAACTTCCATGTTTTGAGCAAAGGGAAAAGACGTACATCCAGTAGTTTTGGTAGAAATAAACAAAATGATCTGGTATAGTGTAATCTTGACCGTAATGAATATAATTATATAGTTTACTTTCTACTGACACTGCATGCATTTTTCCATTTACTGGTCATATATTCACTGCAAATAAATATTAACATTTGATGAAAGATGCAAGTTATGGCTTTTCAGTATTGTTTAAAAATTGACCTCATGCAGCTATGTTTAGGCTATACGCCACTGCTTTCGTTATTGTTTTACTTAACAGTGGATATCACAAACAGCTTAAAAAAGGTAACGTGATAAATGCGAATTGACACCATTATGAAAACCGATACGTTTGTTGCCAGCTGCAAGTTAATATTTTCAAATTTTGCAGCTAACTGTATAACTCTTGTAAACTAAATTGAGTCGTCTTTCAATAGAAAACAATCAGGGAACTAAAGTCAAGATTTTTTTATGTGGCATTTAATTTACAATTGTAATTTCGTTAGATGAGTTTGCCAACGTATCATCTATTTCAATGAGGTAAAAAACGAAAGTTCAGTCATGCGTTTATAAATAGACTGGCTTAAATCTGGCCTATATAGTATAATAATAATTATATTGAAAGAAGTTTTTTACTTCTTTACCTATTAATATAGAAGGTAAAGATTTTACTATTTTACTCATACGACCGCACAGATTTTATGGCAACATAATTTATGAAAGAATAAAAGAGATACCGTCACAGACACATTGAGGTTTGGAGTTGTGTTTATAGCAGTATTAATCCCCAGGTTTTGGTTTCCTGTATAACAAAGTTTATTTCTGAATGGCTGGCCAAGGTGCTATGGAAACTGACCCAATTATTGAAATGAAAAAAGAACTACAATGTACCATATGTCTGGAACCGCTAAAAGACCCGAGAACTCTTCCTTGCTTCCACTCATTTTGTAAAGATTGTTTAGAAGGCGTTTTGCAAACATGTCGTCAGGAAGCACCCCAAGGTAAAACTATTCGAGACTTTCCGTGTCCAAATTGTCGAGAGATGTTCACACTCGATCCGGACAAACATGTCGCCGACCTGAGAAGAAGTCATTTCGTCTGCAACATGACAGCTGCACTAAACAGAGATCTTGTCCTCGTTAAAATTGTAAAAGAAGATGCAATCGACGGTATTTTAACTGCGGGGGATGTCGTTGTTCAACGATTAACAAGTACGGCGGACGAACATGATCGAGACTCACAGATTGGCAAAAGTAAAGTTGTACAAAAAGACGAATTAATGGACAGGGAAGTCGTTGAGACGTTGAAACAGGCTGAAACGAATGTAAACGAAGTACATCAGATTCAAAAAGGTGAGTTGGCAAAGTTAAACGAACCGTATCAGAAAACAAAAGCCGTATATGTATGTAAAAAATATGGGTAGAGTGAATAATCTACACAAATATAAAAGAATGTTGTATCACACAGTTAGAAAATTTTGAATATGGATAATCATCCAATTCCCACTTCGCCGGATTAAAAAACCCTGTATCCTCTGGTAAATTCAGAGGATCACAAGCAGTTGCGACCCAGGCTAACTGTGTATGCATGCGCTGATCAGCTGATGCATGGGCACTATGTCAAAAACTTAAATAAGCGTACAGTATCATATATAGTGTTATCTAAATATTTTCTCAGGTAAAGAAGAGCGTCCAAACACGACAGGTTTCGTTACTGCGATTGACAGTGACTTATTATATACTATCCTATGCCTTGAGAGAACCACAGCCGAGCATCGAAATCAGAGGAGATTCGGTACATTTCTCATTTTCCAGCGAGGAAACAAAAGAACACTTTCTAACTTGTCTTAAAGAATACAAATACGAAATAGTACCGATTAAGCCTGCTCTGCTCGAGCAAGGGTTAAAGAAATTATTGCAGGAAGTATTCTTGGAGTTCAACAATGCTAAATCAGTTTCCTTCATCGAGAGATATGATGAAGGTTTCCTAAAGCTTGTCGGAAGAACAATGTCTGTGTTTATTACGGCCCACGAAGAAGTGAAAAAGTGTGTTGCCAAAATCGAAGAACGAACGATGCGACACGAAGATACGATAGAATTATTACCTGTTCATCTTAAGTTGCTTCAACGCTCGACTAAATTTCAAAGGCAAGTATTTACCTATACACAGTAAGTAGCATTATAAATAACTGACTTAATCTATTATATGGCTTTTCAAAATTCTCTATTCTGATTGGTTGACGAGCCGTCCGTAAAACCAATATCCGGACCCCCTGTATCTGGACCAGTATCTCGGATGTCTCATGCAGCCATATAATAAACAGATTATTTACCTCGCTTGTCTGGACTGTGAAATATCAGTCCGAGGCTCTTTGCATACTAAAGAGCCTCGGTCTGATATTTCGCAGCACAGACCTAACTCTCGGTAAAAAATTAGTTATTATTATATGGCAAGCGTCATTTCAGGTGAAATGGAGCTCAGTAATTGGCTGAGAAGAATTTTCAGTTGTCTATTACTTTCCCGCCGGCGTTACCGGCGTTCCATTCCGAGATGAAAAACAGAGAAATTCTGAATGAAAAAGGCACAAATAAATGCTCAAGGGAAAATTTAATTTACTGTGAAATTAATAATCTCCAGACAGTCTCCAGACGGTTTAGGTAGACTATAAATAATTCACTGATATTATGTTTTTGTTTTTTATCAAATGCGTACCAGGCTACTAATACGAATTCATGCATTTCTTGTTTGTTTCAAGTGCATGCAAATACATTCCTTATGCCATATAATAAACTTTTTATTAGCCTCGCTTGCTCGGTCATTACCGAGAAATATCGGATATCAGATATTTTTGTACAAACTTCGCTCTTCTAGCTCGGTCTGTTCAAAAAGACCTCGGTCCAATACTTCTCGTTAAAGACCTCGCGCATGCGGTATTTAAGAAATAGAAAACATTCTCCGTGTTTCTATACAGTTTTAGTATACACCCGACTATTGTCTATTACAAATCCTACATTCTGATTGGCTACTCAACCATTGTCTATTCGTGATGGTGAACTTTTGGCAAAAATTCGGTTGCGCGACCATATAAAATTGAATTAATTAAATTATTTTTCGGTTTTATATGCGGTGTATCGATTATTTTCTCGAAATTAATATATCTAGGTACATGGTGTATACTAAGACAATTACACAACTCGCCTTCGTTGTCTATGAGCGAATAGTCAACTCAGGCGTCGCCTTTTTGACTATTCGCTCATAGACAACTCAGACTCGTTGTCTAATTTTAAATAGAAACACGCTTCTCGACCAATCA